TTTTATCAGCATTACACTTTATTTTCACTGCAGTTTGGGAGAAATTGTTAAGTTTAATAATTTATTTTATTATTAATATTTTGCATTGATACAAGCTATAATTTGTCATGTATGACTGAGCTGAGAATGAAAGTAACCGTAAAAACAAGGATGTCAGGGATTCCTTTGTTCCGACTAACATTTGTTAAATAAATTTTGAGGTTTAAGTGGCTGTTGTTTAAAAGTGTGATGGTTTAAAGTAATTAAAAGGATGAGTACACTGAATCGGTTCATAAAATTAATTCCCTGCAGTATAATTTTTCTGATTCCTATAGCAGGAGTTTATTCTAACCAGTCAATTTGACCTTTAATGACCTCCCCATATTTTGCCAAGTTATCATGTCAGGAAGTTCCTGTCCTCTTGAGTGGTGGCGTGAAGCCAGTAAAGTCGTTCTGTGACATTGCTAGCTGTCATATTACTGTTGTTGGATAATGATTAATGGTACAAAATAATCTGCCCTTCTAGTGAGAAGTAGCTGTGAATGCCTCAGCTGTTATTTGCGGAGCAGGGAGGGCTGCAAGGCTGTAAGTCATTAGATATTAGGGCAGGTTCTGCAGGTTCACGGCGAAGTTAAAGAGGTGGATGATTTTCCATATGACAGCTCATCAGCCTGTTAACAAAATTCTTGCTCCACCTTCCTGCTCCACTATAATAGCAGCAGGAACGCTGTTGGCAGCAAATGGAAAAACAGCCTCTTTTTCTGCTCTTCACTGCTGTTCCCTCCTCCTTTCTCTTGCTCGCTCCTTCTGTCTGCTGCTTTGCTGTTTCCCTACCGTTCTCCATCTTTCTCCTCACTCCTGGTTCTTTTCTCTTTGTGTCTCTTTCTAGGCATCTTATTCACCATGTTTGATTTGGGCATTCCTTTCCCCCTTAGCAGACAAAACAACCTCGGACCTAACTGAACTGCAAGCCCCAGTGTGCACACACATATACATAGACGTCTACACACACACACCCTTTTTCTAATCACACACAGGAAATGGGCTCCCGTGCAAACAAGGAGCGCCTGGAACCCAGGATGGCGTTTGAGCACTTGAAATGTTCTCTCGTGGAAGAAACAGAACCTGAGTTCTCTTTGTCCTTCTTTGGTTCTGCCTTGTTTCATTTATTTTATTCAGTTTATCTGTGTGTTGGTCATGTCGTCCATGACGTTAACATTGGAGTGAAACAACAACAACGTGTCGTAAGTTCGGGTGTTGAAAAATAAACTTTGGCATACTGCATGTGAAAGTGAAAGCCGAAGTTCTGAAAAAAACATTAAGAGATACTGCATAAATCATAAAAGGATGATAAAGGCACAGTAAATGACACATTGTGTGTTTATGAGGAATTTATTGGAGGAAAACCCCTTAACAGGGATTTCTGCCCTGTTTCACATAGTTAATGCTGTGTTAACACACTGTGCATGTAATGAAAACTAAATACATGCTTTTACTATTATAATATGGGGGAAAATAAATAAACTTGGTCTGAAAAAGCAGATAAGGTAACATTAAAGCTAATTTAATACAAATGTATCCTCACTTTCCACTTTAGTCTTTAGAGGCATTCTTTCTTGTTCAGTGGTGTTTCTGTGTGCTCAACATTAGTCATTTTAGAGGCTCATGCTTACGGTGCCGCTGAATCGTGTCTTGTTTAACTGAGAGATTTTTCTAATATTTTGTCCATCCCATAAAAGCAAGTTTCCATAATGCCATAAATTTCAGTGGCTGCACGAAAGCTGAGTTTATTGCAGGGATTTTTGCAGTAGACTGCATTTACTGCATTGCAGTAGAGCTAGGTGTACTTTTTTTTTTTAAATACAAGTCAGACATTTATAAGACATTTTCCTGATACATAAAAAGTAAAAAGTCAGTTTAAACTTGTGTAAATGACACATGATGTAAGGAAGGGGGAAAACTGTATTAGGAAGCAAGTTCAGTACACAAAGAATATCTTTTCCCTATCTGGCTTTACTCCAGATAATGTTAATAATCCCACTGTTTAAGATCATAACAATATATTACAGCTTAAAGAACAATATAAGAAGTTGTTTTAACATTATTTGCAGCAAACAATTCAAAAATCAAGGAGTAAAGATGCTCCTAAAATGTTTCTTTTAATGCAAATTAAACTTGATGTAAGGGAAAGAAAAAAAACTGAACTGGGGTTTGTATTAGGAACCAAGTTTAGTATACCAAGGATATCTTTTCCTTATCTGGCTTTACTTATCTGGATAACTGTTTACAGATGATAACACTATATTACTGCTTATAGAACAATATAGGCACTTGTTTTACGATTACTTGCTCCAAATGGAGGGAAGAAAAATCACATAGATGGCTCCTAAAAATGTATTTCTTGATTAATGCTCCTCAGCGAAAGCCAAAAAAGACATCTAGACCCTATTACTACATGCACAGTGAGGTCCATGGGCCATCGAAGGAATGAATTCACTATTTTAGGGTGAACTGACACTAAAAACCCCGGCGTTACCTTGCTAAACCCCTAAAACTTCTTTGTAGTAGAGCCCTCAGGTGTCTGATGGGTAAGTCGCCAACACGCATTCTGAAGGAAGCTCCACCTCACACTATTTCACTTAATTCTGCTGAGTAGAATGATGAATTCTCCACAACCTGTGTGTATAAAGGGAAGCAAGTGGGTGTGAGGGATGAGCAGGAGACAGCTGTTTTTAGTTTTCCTTGGTTATGGGCTGGCTAACCATCTGAACTTCCTTCACACACACGCACACAAATACGCAACTCAACAGCAAACACAAAAGCAGACAAACATGGGTTTATAATTTCTTTGGGACCATAAAAAATGTGTCAAATCTGATCAGTGAAGTCATACGTTTCAATTATAATCAATTTCATTAATCACACACTCTCGTTTTGTTATGCTCAGCAGAATTACACATTTGGTTTACGGCAGTGCTGTAATGTCATGAATCGTGAGAATGTCAGATGATTCAGCAAAACCCGTGTTATACGGCTGCTTTCATCAGTCGAACATGACATGGCTGAGCGCAGAGCTGCTGGGTTATCTCCTTCCTCCGGAGTAAAGATGTGAAAGAACAAATAGACTCATGGAAAGGGGTTGAGAGTGGCAGGATCAAGTAAAAGGCAAGTGCTCTGTGTCTGTCAGAAGGTGCTTACATGATCAAACAGTATTTGAGTACATCACTTGCCACCCTTCCTTAGTTCAGCCTAGGTTAAATAAAGGGAAACTGCTTTACAGTCTCTTATATAAAGTGGTAGGAGAAGTAGTCTTTTTTGATTTTGTTTTTTTCCAATGATGGCACCTGTCGCACTTTGATAGTTAAATCAAAACTGAAAACTTTTTCCTGCCTTGGATAGTTTATCATACTTTATCTTAACCAGCTGCCTTTCCGCCATGTACCTGCATCAGTAATTTCCATCCACCGTTTGCTCTTCCTGTCATACGGAGTGCTCTGAGTCACTTGTTTACATTTGGGTCGCGTGTCGGCAGCTGCTCGTATCTCCTCTTTACATACCTTCTTACCCCTGTTGCACACATTGGCGTGTTTCCCCTTAAAGTGGTGAAACAAGTTTGTTTCCACCATTCCAGAAACAGTTTTTTTTTTTGCATATTTTGCCAACTACTCTGCTGGTTGTTGAAGTAGCTCTTTTTTTCAGGTGCTCATCAGCATCATCAGAAGCTGACACGTGGCTCTCGGTCTCAGACATGCCTGGCCTTGTCTTGTTGTTGTTGTTGTAGTACATGCTAACAAGCATAAAAGTATTGTGTCTGTATCATTGATATTGTGATGCTTTTGAACCTTTGTCATGTAAGGATACTGATGATATCGCAGATACACCAGTTGCTAAAATATATATATATTAAAAAAAATGAACCTCGCTCAGCCATGGCCTTGAAGCTCCCACATCAGCATGTTGTAGCTCATTTTCTTTGATCCATTAGACAACAGAGGGTAGATTTTTTTTTTTGAAGTGTGGGATCATTTGCTTGCTAGAACAGACATCCAGGAAATGAAAAGAAATATTGAGCGGGTGTAAACTTATTTTTGTGCTTCTGGGGTGGTTCATGCTTAACAAAGTCTGAGAACCACAGATTTTAGAGGATTTGTGTTGTTCTTTTTAATCATTCATAAAAACTAGTGTCAACTCCACAAGTATTTTCCATTTCCCTTTTTGTGGGCAAAACAGTTACAAATCAGAGCTTGCTTTCTTGTTTATGAGCCTGCTCTGTCTTCATCAGGATGGCATTTGTGAATTAGATTCTCAGACTTTACATTGTTCTTCATTTTCCATGTCTCAAAACTCAACCTTGTTATGTCGTAAATAATGTTCCCTCTCTGATGTACAGTTACAAAAGTGAGCGTCCTGCTGCTGCTTACAGTTTCCAGCAGTGTTCCCTTTCTCTTTCGGCCCAGACCTCTACTTCATTTCTCAGCCTTTCCTTCTCATCCTTTAAATTCAGTCCAGACTCGGGTCTTAAATCTGGATTCTCTGCGCTTAACCAAACATATGGAATGCTACTGTAGTGGAATGCTTCAAGTCTGGGTTGTTTCTGTGTGAGTGTGTGTGTGTGTTTGCACATGTTTTGAAGCAGATGAGAGCTTCTAGGATGATGATGATTATGATAATGGTGCGTGTGTGTGTGTGTGTGTGTGTTTACCAGTGCCTCCCCAGAGAACTGAATAGGGCCTTCTGTTGTCGTGGCCAAACATTGCTTGTCTGCTCATGCATGAGTCTATTGCAAAGCCTCAGAATGTGCCCCATATCTGAGCAGTTAGCTCATTCTTAGCCTCTTAGCTTGACTGTGAACGATCTCCCTTACAGTGACTGCTTTGTCAGCCCGGCCGCCGGCCCCGGGCTTTGTCAAGTGCCAAAGATAACAATGGCGAAAGATGGCATGAGTGTGTGTGTTGATATAATGATGACCAGTGCTTCCATTTTTACTAACCTCACGCCCTCTCTGTGTGTTTTAACCACAGGATGGAGAGTCTGTGGAGCTTGATTTGCTTTAGAGGAAAGGATGCATCTTAAATTAAGTAAGTTGTGGGAAGTTCTTTGTGATTTTTAGGATTTCTGCCAGTGTGTACAAGCCCTGCAGCCCAGCAGGCCTGCACTTACACTCCTGCCAATCTAAGCCGATTTTTTTTTAAAGACATAATCTGCAATCAGGAAGTTGTCTAATATAGCCTCTTAACCCACTGTTCTTGTTAACTATTTTACACAAATAAGCATTGAGTGACCAGGCAGATGTTATGACCCCATACAGTTTTATCTGTAAGGCTGATACGTCTCCACTTGTGTGAATAAAGTCAACTGTGATTTCGTGCTCGCCTTCTCGTCCTCTAGTTCATTCCTTTTCATGTCTAAAGTGGAAAATAAACTATTTGGTGTTTCTCTTCAGCCCTTTCCAGTTTACAGCTCATACGGCAGCACTTCTTCTTTGACACATAATTACCAACTGACATTATAGTGGATGGATAGCACCATTAGTTGAGTGCAACATTGAGTTGTGCCAAATCAACCTCTTCTGAGATTGTCAGGCTTGCTGTTTTCTCGCGTTCTCAGCAGCTCCGGGGACAGAAGCTTAGTTTATTAGTTAAGTTTGAAGTTGAGTCAAAACCTACCAGAGTATTGCAGTTGGTATTTAAATGCATTAGGTCACTAACCGTGTTAGACAGCTTCTCAGTTTCAGGCTAGTCTGGTTAAACACTCACATCTTTCCCTTCACTTCTTCTCCTCATCCTCCAGTCTTGCCTACTTTTCTTCCCTTCCTTTCCCCCTCCTCTTTGCCTCCTCGCCTCCTCAACCCCTCCTCTACTCTTTTGTGAGTCTGTTTCCTGTTGGGCACAAATGCCGGCGCCGCATTTCCTTCCCTATAGCCTAAAGTAACACAGGAGTGGTACATACATGTACAGTTGCAAAAAAAAAAAATGCAATTTCCAGTAAAATACGGTTTGATATTCACTGAGGGCAGAGGAAAGGACAAATGGTGTGACTAATAACACACAAGCACACAGAGGGATCACTCAACGTAAGTGAACCTCTAAATCTTCAAAAGCTACTGTGAGTCAAGTTTGAAATTAAAAAGATCAAACACAGTGCACAATGCAATGCTCACAGGAAGCGGGACCTGTATGAGCACCAAAACAAGATGAAGAATGCTGAAGGGGACATCAAAGTTTGGGGCTGCTCTGCTGACTCAGAGCCTGGACCTAAACTCAAATTTGTTTTAAATATTTTTTAGAGGACAACTTCAAGGCAGCAGTCCTTTTTCCTGAAGTGGTTGAGAGGTCTGTCCACGGTTTAGTTGGAAATGTACGTTTGTTGTGACCTCAAGGCATCCCAGAAATCCTGCTGAACTGAAACGGCCTCGTAAGGAAGGATGTTCCAGAGTTCCTCCTCGCTGTTGTGCAATTCTCATAAGAAGCTGCAGAAAATATATAAAGGAGGCTGTGTGAGTAACTCAATAACTTCAATGAAGATCAGGTCACATTTTATTATGAGTCATAGCAGACAGCCCAAAGGATTCGCAAACTTTATCTTCAAACTTCATTCAGTGCTCAGTGGGCGTGTGTGGGTGTCTGCGTTCTTACGTCAGATTAGTCAGCAGACAGTGTGTATCACTGTCTTATCACATCTCCTCTCCTGTCTGCTCCCACAAGTGTGTAAGGTCAATATGTGGCCAGGGCGTGTTCTGTGTGTCTAAACCGAGCTGCCATTAAACATGTTTATTATTCTGAATGGTAATCCTAAAACTGACCATTAAAACCAACATTAAAACAGGAAACTCTGAAGGCACTTCCCCATCCTATTTACATCTCTCACTTACAGGAGCATGATTCTTTTAATTTATGAATGATTTATGCTTTTACACTCAGTTTAGTTTATCATTTGTTTTTGTTTTTTCCTTGATGTACTTTTGCAATCTGCAGTTACACGCTGCTCTTAGTTAGAGCGAGACGTTCTGTAAGTACCGCATCATTCCACGGGGACACACATCTCCTCTGAAACACGTCATCATTTTACCTTCTGCTACATCTCCTCTTCTCCCTCTTTCTCTCCCCTCTTCCTGCAGCCACTGCTGCATTCCTGCTGCAGTAATCCACTCTGTCATCTACCTGCTCTGCATTCTATACAGTCACTCCCCTTGTTTCTCTCCCTCTCTCTCGTCTTAATCTGCTTTTTCTCTGTCGCTCTGTCATTGCTTCTCTTCCATTATTGCACACGTTTCACTCTGCACATTTATTTCGTCTGAGCTCCTCTGCTGTGTCTCTTCTCCCTGTATCTTTCTTTTTCTTCTTTCTCCCCCTTCTCATCACAGAGCCACTGAGGTCTCCATTCAGCCGCAGCGGGCTTCTAATGCCAAGGCTCAGGCTGATGAAGCACTGCCAAGCTCTGCCAAGCAAACTCTGTGTGTGCGCGGCCTGTGTTAGGATGGGAAAACGGTGAATGAACAGGATGCGGAGCAGCCAGGCAGAAGGTGGAACGGCTGTATGTTAAGAGCTATTGATGTGTCTGAATGAATTGACCGTGGTTGTCTATTAGCTACCGCGAGGCTTACGCTCAGAAAATTTCCAATTCATAATCGCAGGAGACTTTGAGGATCAGCTGTCATTTCCTCCTCTTATCCGTGCAAGGGGAAGGAAACAGAAGTGCAGCAGGAAAGCAGGAGTAATACAGTGAAGGTGAAGGGAAGGAAATTGAAGGAAAGCAGTGACAGAAATGGGCGGCTGGGGTGGGACATTTAGAGGTCACATGAAAGCAGATGATGGTGGCAGAGACTGATGACAAAGGAGAACAATAGCTGGGGTGATGAAAGAAAATAATGTATAGTAATCAATTATTATTGATGTCCTTGGCCTTTTTGGAGAAAGGACAATTGCTGCCTCTGTAGATTAGTTCTATTCATATAATTCTTCATTAGTTTCATTAGTAATTGTCAATCACTTTGAGATGAATACATGATTTCTTTATTGTGTTATTCCTTTATGTGAGTGTTTACACCACAAATCTTAAATGGAAATGCATTTTTGTGCCCCTCCCTGTAACACGTGGTGCAGAGTTACGCGTTGCTCAGTTTGTCTAAAGACACTTTCCTCCCAGAGACACTGCAGAGCATTAATTGCTATGTAAATATTTAAGTGTGTGAGCTAGGGAGGGCACGAGACCAGTCTGTGCCGAAACCAGTAAGAGTTAATATGGTTGAATAATTATCTCTTGTACTTCAGCATAAACATCAATTACTGGCATTTAAAATGTTAACAATATGTTTTGCTGATAGGACACAGACTGTGTTGAGACATCCTCAGAAATGAATTAGTAAGGTTGATTTCTGTTCATCTGGACGCAACGTTTTCAGTGGGAGAAACGTTTCATCACCATTCTGATTCCTTCAGTCACAGCAGACTTCAGGTTTCCTCAGCCTTATGAACAGTACAGCTGCATAACAATCAAAACCAGCAGCACTGTATAACACTGAGCCACGAGATCAGTTTCATAATCATTTCCTTCCTGCAGTCAGCTGAGACTGAAGAAGTCACTTGGATGAGTGACGAAACGTTTCTCCCAGAATACGCTACATCCAGATGAACAGAATCAACTTTTGGAGTTTCATAATCATTGATATGCAAATTGTTTTGACCCTTAATCAGCGGCCACGAGTGCTGTTTTCAGAGAATTGGGGATAGGCTGCAATCACGCGATGGTCCAATAGTGAAAAGTGAGCTGATCGGAGGGTCAGAACAACCAAGACATGCATCTCAGTGGCTTACCAACCCCAAGGAATGGGTCCCTTGGTACAAACAGAGCAATACAGTAAATGAATTTAAGTGCCAATAGAATTGCAGGGAATTATACATCTGGGAAATTAAACAATCACTGGCTAAACGGATGAGCTACATTGTCAGACTGGACTCCTCAGTCTATTTACACCTACAGGCCAGTGGCCATTCTTTCAACTGATGAGGATTTGTACATGCTGGGCATGAAGGATTGCAGGTTTGCAGTTCATAGGCAATTTATGTGAGAAATGGAACGACCACTTGAACCCAGGAGCGAAGCCTAGGAGTACATCTTTACCTACTTACAATGCTGTGATTCCAGTCATTCCCCATTTTTCTGTGAAAAGTACTGATGGCCATTGGTAAATACTGATGACAATTTGCATCTCAATGATGTTGAAACTGAGCTTGTGGGTCATTGTTAGGAAATGGTGCTAGTTTCAGTCATTATGCAATTGTTCTGTTTTTAAGGTTAGGGAAACTTGTCAGCTGATACTCAAGAAGTCAGCCCAGCTGTCTCCAAACACAGTGGTAATGTGTATTTCAGAATAACACCACACAAGGATAGTATTTTAGATTTTAAAGTTACTCAACCTTAATTTCAATCTTGATGTTGATCTTTTAAGTCATGCAGTTAGTTGAGATTGTATCCTTCTTCTTCTTCTCTATGTGAAATAGAGCCTGATCGATATATATGCTCATTGCTGGTCTGCATATATAATGGCTCATATATGAGGCAGACGAAAACAGAGTAATACAGAGCATACACCAAATAACACTGCTCGATTCTCCAAATGTTCAGTAAGCAGATGGATTCAGTTCTGTATCAGCAGATGAGGGAGAAAATACTTAAAACTTCAAAAAGTCTAAATATGGAAAGAAGAAATGGTATTCATGACTCTAGCTCTCGCCTAACTTCTGTCTGCCTCACCTCATTCCTTTTCTGCATTGCTCACACTTGTTCACATAGTGTTGTCTCTTAACAAGTGTCATCATGTTGTGATGTTTTCACGTTCTCTTATCAGTGTTAAACGCTGACACAAACGCATTCCTTTAGCAGCAGTTCATCGTCACACACATCTTTGCGTATTCGCACACGCTCATTGCAACATGAGGATTTCACCTGTGCGTGCTGAAATTGTTTGAACAGCTGTTATTCTACCACAAAACTGCAGTTCAGCTCATTATACTCGAGGCTGATGCTTTAATGCTGCTATGACCTTTAGCCCCCTTGCTCTCAGGTCATGTATGCTATC